GCCTCCCCAAGCCTCGGTACCCCAGGCACCTCAGCCGCCTCCTCCCTTGCCTCAGCAGCAGCAGCCGTCGCCGCAGCTGACTCAGCGGCCGTAGCAGCAACAGTAGGGAGCAATGGGCTCTAGGGGTGCAGGTTCTGGGGGTGCTGGTGTTGGTGTTAGGGATGCTGGTGTTGGTGGAGTTGGTGTTGGTAGTGCTGGTTCGGGGGGTGCGAGTTCTGGGGGTGCTGGATCTGGGGGTGCTGACTCCGGGAGTGCTGGTTCTAAGGGTGGTGCATCTAAGGGTGCTAGTTTTGGGGGTGCTATTTCATGGCGTGCTGGTGGCAGCCGCGGTGCCGCTAGAGGTCCTGGAGAGGACAGGGAGCAGTTGCAGCCGCAGCAGCAGCCGTAGCAGCAAGCGCAGCCCCCGCAACAGGAGCAGCCGTAGTCTGCCCTTCGTCTCCTTGGTCTTGCTCGAGGTTCCCTTGTCCGCCCACCCGTACCCCCTCCGGTGCGTGACCCTGTTTTCGGCCCGTTGTTCCCTCCTCCGGAATCCTCCCTGGCTCATGTTCCCCCGCGCTCTCCTTCATCCCCTGACTTGTCCCCCATTCCCCCTCGTCCCCAGTCCCCAGTTCTTCCCCCCTGGGTCCATCACCCCTCTGGTGCTCGTCCTATCTCTCCCCATCCTAGTGTCCACCCTATGGTCCGTCGTTCGCATGCTCCTCCTGTCACAGTCCTCCCGTTGCCTCCCCCATTGTCACTCCAGTCGTCCCCCCCTCCTCGCTCCGAGGCTGCTCGCACTGCTAGTCCTACCCTCTCACGCTTGCTTGCGTCGCTTGTTACTGACCCTACTGCTCCTCTTGAATCCATCTCTGCACTTGTCACTGCAATCTTTGCTGTTAGCCACCACCTTGACTGCGCTGCCGCTCTGGTCTCTGGTGATGTCCATCCTCCGTCCATCGGGGGTGCATCTGCCCTTAGCAGTGACGTGCTAGAGGACAGGCAGTACGAATTGGCCTACCTTGCTGCCGCTGTTCCCCATCTTTGCTCCATGCTTGTATCCCCTGAGGGCGACCCAGATGCTCTCGACATCCCTCTATCTCACTCTTACGCTGAGGCAGTGTCGGAGCCCTGGGCAGCCCAGTGGATACATGCCATGAACGCAGAGATGTCATCCTACAGATCCACAAGCACTTACGTCGACGCAGTTCCACCGCCTGGGGCGAACGTAGTCGATGGCATGTGGATCTTCAGGGTGAAGCACGCACCTGGAGAGCCGCCGAAGTTCAAGGCGTGTTACGTGGCTAGAGGCTTCAGTCAGCATTTAGGGTGTGGACTTCTTCCAGACCTTCTCTCCGACCCCGAAGATGACTACACTTCAGGTCCTTCTTCACATAGCCGCGCAGCGAGACTACAAGCTTCACTCACTTGACTTCTCTACGACGCTTCTGCAGGGTAGTCTGCACGAGAAGATATACCTTCGGTGCCCTCTAGGCTTCTCTGGCTCCTTCCCACTTGGGACCGAGTTGAGGTTGCGCCGTCCTATCTACGATCTTCGTTCGGCACCCCGTGAGTGGCACGACACGCTTCGCACCACTCTTGCTGAGCTGCAGTTCTTTCCGTCCTTTGCTGACCCCTCTCTCTTTGTTCGCATGGGTCAGACACTGTTCTACATTCTAGTGTACGTAGATGATATTATCTTTGCTACTCTTGACAGAGTCGCACTGGCTTCGGTGAACGCTGAGTTGCTAAGGAGACACACCTGTACAGACTTGGGGGAGTTGAGGCGCTATCTGGGCTTGGAGATCTCTCGTGATTGTGCTGCTCGCACGATCACACTCTCCCAGTCCCATATGGTACAGCAGATCCTCCAGAGGTTCAGTCTCCAGTTCTCCTCAGCTTGTGGATCACAAGCTCTCTGCTCTTGTTTCGGCTGAGCCGGTTGAGGCTAGTGGTCCATACGTAGAGCTGGTGGGGTGCCTCATGTACCTGATGACCTTCACTCGACTAGATCTAGCGTACCCTCTCAGTCTCCTAGCTTGCTTTGTCACGACAGGCAGGCACCGACCAGTCCACTGGTCAGCTGCCAAGAGGGTAATGCGGTATCTGGCGAGCACATCAGGACTAGGGCTGGTGCTAGGAGGACGGGAGCCAGTGGTGCTTACTGGACACACAGACACGTCGTGGGCCGGCGACTTGGAGATGCTCAGGTCGTCTCAGGGCTACTGCTTTAGTCTTGGTACTGGTGTAGTCTTGTGGAGGTCCACCATGCCGTTGTCTGTAGCTTTGTCCAGTTGTGAGGCAGAGATCTACGCAGGGGCCATTGCTGCTCAGGAGCTCCGCTGACTGTCATTCTTGCTCACTGACTTAGGTGAGCAACCTAGGTGTGCCCCTGTCCTGTTTGCTGACAACAGGGCCTTGATCCTCTTGTGTCAGGAGGCTCGACTTGAGGGCAGGGTGAAGCACATCCAGCTGCGGTACTTCCTGCTGCGAGAGTTGCAGCAGCGCGGTCAGGGTCGTGTAGTACAGTTGGCCTCAGAGGCCAACACCTCTGATATCTTCACCAAGGCACTTGCGCCTCGTGACCATCAGCGGTTCTGTACTCAGCTTGGTCTAGCCTCAATAGCAGCACCACTTCCTTGTATCCTAAGTCATACTATACCTTTATGTACGTGTTGTTCGATATCTGCTTGTCTTGCTACCCTTGCTGACTGGCCTTGTGGCCTCTTGTCTCAATGGTCAGACTAGTGGTGCTGCCCTGAGTTTTCTTATAACCATAAAAGCCTGGATATAAGACCTATGTGTCTTATCACATAACACCATTCAAAACTGCATTTGATCTTATAAACGGAAAAAAATGGGGCATTTGGGTATCTTATAAACGGAACCCTCATAAGTTCATTGGAAAAAGGGCCCGAGAAGTGAACCAAAACATATCGAGTAATCTGATAATGAGGATTCAGCGATAAGGGGAAATTTTGCGGAAGTCAATTGTGACGGTAAAACACGTGTGATGAAGATGCGAATGCCTGCAACAAGACCCCGCTCGGGCTTAATCCCAATCGTTCATCGTCTCAGTCAATAAAACTCGTTTGTGGGAGACCCAGTTCTTGCTTCGCAGGAATAAAAAACACTACAGAAGGGGGGGTCTTATCTCATACCGCCTTGAGGGTGTCTTATTAACGGGAATTCCGAATAGAAGATAGACGCCTAGAAGAAGACCCTGGGTCTTCTATTACTAGGGGGTCTTCTATCCGGGCTTTTACGGTACTCTCACCGAAGGTCAAAATAGTAGTGCTGCCCTGGTGTACTTTTCTTTGTTATGAACTGGCATTATCTCGACTAGGGTGTGTGTCAACAAGTACCGTATTCCCCCACATAAAACACCCGCCGGAATTAATCACCCATGGGTGGTTTGGGCGGACCTGGATGCTTTATTAAACAGGATATTCATACCACCCTAGTTTTTGGCATGAAACCTATACACCACCCCCCTGGTTCATTTTCAATGGATTTCTGTAGATTTTGCCTCGTATCAGAGTGTCTCTTATCAGACTCGCGCGTCACTGAGCAGTGCAAGCTCGATGTGAAGTGGTTCAATGCGGTGTAGAACTGTTACCATGCTTGGAATTCGCGTCACTCAGGCGAATGTTGTGAGTCTGATACTGTACGAGGCTCATGGGAACACGCTCCTCATAGTCAACACTTTGCAGTGCGGGAGAATCCATGCCGGTCAGCCCTGGTTGGGTCGTGAAGGAATCTGCAGCAGATTCCTTCCAGCTTTGGTGCGCTGTCACATTGTGGCATCGAGGTTGCCACTTGCCACCACGATTTGACAGAACGTGACAACCTGTGATGCAGGCAACCTATGACTGTTTGCCTGCAACGTGGCATGACGATAGTCCTCACCATATACGCGATCACGTGCAATCGTCAAAATTCGGCACAAAAGAACTGTCTACAACACAGTTCAATTCCAGTTCATAAACATAAAATTGTCATTCCATAGCCCCCGGGCGTTATACAAAAAGTGCCACTACTTCCACCCCCACTAAAATTTGCATCAAAATTATCCGGGGGAATACTGTATAATTATCTGGGCTAGCTAGTTTGTATTTGTTATAGCCTTAGCTAGGTCAGAACTTAGAGGGTACAGGTCCTACCTTTGTAACCCTCGCTGTTTTCCCTTAGTCCCACCATACTCTCTACAATCTAACACATAATCTACAAGAAAAAACAGAAAGCAATCATGCCCTTGCACCCATGCAAGGTCTCCACCCACATAAAAAAAATATCTTAGTCGGCAATCCCAGTGAGTCACACACCACCAGCTGTACACTTCCCAGCAATGCTGTGTTCCTTCAGCTTCATGGAAGAAAGGATGCTGTCCGGGATAACCAAGAGTAGATACATGAACCCGAACGTGCTGACACAGATGCCAGTAACCCAGTAGCACCACTGCACAAGGGAAGGAAGGGAAAGGAAGAAAGACGTGGGATTGGATGTACAATTATATGCTCTGTAAATAGTGAAAGCTTGAGAACATACGGGAACAGGAAAACAGGTGGTAACACCGTGCCACAAAGTTGTATACGGACGATTCAATCCACAAAATCGGAAACACATCTGAATCCCCTCCCTCTAAATCACCCCTTTTACTTGCACACTTCACCGCACCACTCGCCTGGAAAGCAGAAAAGGCAGAAAACCACGCACACATTCCGAACAACTCATCGTGACGTTTTCCATAAACTTGGTGTGATACAAGGCGATACCGAGAAACATCGCCGTCCACGCGAGCGCAATTGTCGTGGCTCCGATCATGCAGTGCGCCACGTGCCACTTGAAGAGGTTCGGTGCGGTCTTGTCCGGCCGTATGAACCCCACCACGGCCTGCAGCAGCGCGAGAATGACCGCCGCCAGCCCCACCTGCCCATGCGTCCAGCTGAGCCCCTTGGAGCCCGCCTGCACGAATATCAAAATCATCCCCGCCACTGCAACCACTAGAGCCGACCGCTGAATCCCCCGGTGCAGCTGAAACCCCAGCGGCCGCAAGTCCTTTCCGCTGTTGAGGTTGAGGAGGGCCCCGTGGGGGCGGTCGGCGAGGAGGAGGCGGGCAAGGAGGATGGCGAGGGGCATGAGCAGGGCGAAGGCGAGGGCGAGGAGGACCCCGGCGGCGATATACGCCGCCGCGGTCGATGTGCCCTTCACGAAGTCTATTGAGGCTGACCCGCTGGTGGTAGAGAGAACAGGGAGAAGAGGAGGGAGGGGGGGGGGAAGGATGGGGGAGGGGGAAATGAGGGGAAAGAATATGAAATTTTGATATAATGCCACGCATATCACCGAACGCCATGAATATTATCTAATGCATGTAGATAACCTGATGCCATGTATAGAATCTAATGTCATGTCAGATTGCCTCATGTCATGCATACAACCGTGCGCCACACCAAGACTCACTAGTTGCTGCGGTGGCCAACCAGAGAGGTGGAGCCATCGGACCAATCGGTGCAGATGATGGTGGAGGAGAGAGAATGGGGGAGAGAGAAGAGGGGAGAGAGAAGAGGGGAGAGAGAAGAGGGTAGAGAGAAGAGGGAAGAGAGAAGAGGGGAGAGAGAAGAGGGGAGAGAGAAGAGGGGAGAGAAAAGAGGGGAGAGAGAAGAGGGGAGAGAGAAGAGGGGGGAGAAAAGAGGGGAGCGAGAAGAGGGGAGAGAAAAGAGGGGAGAGAGAAGAGGGGAGAGAGAAGAGGGGAGAGAGAAGAGGGGAGAGAGAAGAGGGGGGAGAGGAGAGGGGAGAGAAAAGAGGGGCTGCACATTCTACCCCGCAATGCTATGCCATGCTACCTCACCTTACGGTGTGCCATCCCATGATGGTGGTGCGGGCACATGCCATGCTACAATACCGTACTGTATGCCATCCCATGATGGCGGTGCGGGCACATGCCATGCTACAATACCGTACTATATGCCATCCCATGATGGTGGTGCGGGCACATGCCAAGCTCAATACCGTACTGTATGCCATCCCATGATGGTGGTGCGGGCACATGCCATGCTACAATACTGTACTGTATGCCATCCCATGCCATCTTATCGCTTACAAGTTGCTGGCGTGGTAAGCGAGAGCTGTGGAACCGTCGGGCGAGTAGGCCCAGATGGTGGGGGCCGAAGCATCGATGGGCACGTGGCCCATGCCCATGCTGCGAGTGAACCTGGGGGGAGGAGGGAGGGGTTAGGGAGGACGAAGGCTTCCCTAACGAGGGGGGGAAGCCAAAAGTTTACCTCACTATAATGCCACACGCCAATTTTCTTCTAGGGAGAACAGCAGTGCGACATCAAAATAGTCTTACACCATTGTAGTGTATCCATTAGAAGTCGTAACCCAAGTGTTTGTAACGCTCCACGTGTCAGTCGGCTGAACCGACCCCACGTCACGCCCACTCAAGAAATACGCCCCTACTGCCGCCCCGTTGGCCAGCGTGCCAGGTGGCACGTTCCCAATGGCTGCGTCACAGTTGGTCATCTTGCCGTCCTTGGAGAAACCGATCCCTACGAAGCCCGTGGTGGCGACCTGCGCTGCCATGCTGACTGTGCTGTCTTTATACACAGCCCAGTGGAGGGTGTAGCTGAGGGGGACGAGACAGGAGTTGAGGAGAGGAGAGCAGAGGAGAGCAGAGGGCAGAAGAGCACGTGCTGACTGAGAGGGGAAGGAATGGGGAAGGGACGGGGAAGGAACAGTGACTGTAGAATGAAGAACGGGCTAATGATGAGAGGAGTTTAGTGCTGCAAGCTTGAATGCAGAATGAAGGATGGACTAATGCTGAGAGGAGTTTAGTCACACTCACGCGTTCTTGCTGAGCTGCACGGAGCACGTGTAGCCCGGCAGGGAGGACGGCTGGCAGCCAGACCCATTGGCCTGCGAGGATGACCCGCTGCTCCCTCCACTGCCGCTGCTGCCATTGCTGCTCCCGCCGCTGCTGCTGTTGCCACCGCTGCTGCCGTTGTTGCCGCTGCTGCTGCCGCTGAAAGAGGGGCAGCTGTAGTCTACTGACAGGGATCCCCTAGGGGGAGGGAGAGAGCCTGAGAAGAGGAGAAGAGGAGAAGAGGAGAAGAGGGGAAGAGGAGAAGAGGAGAAGAGGAGAAGAGGGGGAGAGGGGAAGAGGAGAAGAGGGGGAGAAGGGGAGTGGGGGAGAGGGGTGGAAGAACTTCAGGAGAAGCAAGGTGGACCAGACCCATTGGCCTGGGAAGTGGACTCGCTACAGCCACTGCTGCTGGAAAAGGGGCAGCTGTAGTCTAGACTCTACTGACAGGGATCCCCTGGCGGCAGGCGAAGGCATAGAAGGGGAGAAGAGGGGTGGAGGAACGTGAAGAGAAGGGCATAGAACGCCATAGTAAGGTATAGAAGCGCATAGAGGGGTGTAGAAGTGGGGTAGAAAAAGGTAAAGAGGGGCATAGAGGGGTATCAAAACGTATAGAAGGGCATAGAGGGTGCAGAATTTAGAAGGGTTACACAGGGCTTAGAAGAGTATAGAAGAGCAAGTGTGCACTTGTTGGTTGGCAGGTGCTGCGCGAGGGTCTGAAACCCATCGGAGTAGGCCCAGATCATTGAATTAATTCCCTTCAGCAACACCTTTGTTTTGCCATCGTTAACAGACCGTGAGAACCTGCAACGAGGAGTGCAACAAAAGGGGGTAACAGAAGGCCTGCGTGTTTGCTACAGTGGTAAAGCGAGAATGCTCAGACAGCGGTAGCGCATGGCTGATAGCAAGCTGTGCGACAGCGTCGCGCGAGTCCCAGACAGCACGAGCAAGCACAACAGCGGAAAAGGCCTCGCTCTCAGCAGTCGTGGGGGCATCAGGGAGGGCAGCAGGCGCAGGGGGGAGGGAAAGCAGGCCATCAATATGAACAGCCAGGGGTTGACCGTCCTGGCGCTGACCTGTAAGCTGGCGTCGAAGGTCGACCAGCCACGCCTCAAAGTCAAGCGCCCGACCCTCTGCGTCCAGACGGAGCTGTGACTCCGCCATCGCCACTGCTGCTGCTGCTGACGGCCGCTGACAGGGTGAAGAGGATAGGCAGAGCAAGCGGTGGAGTGCAGTGTAGTGCGGTTGAGTGCGATGGAGAGCGGTGGAGTGCGGTGGAGAGTGGTGGAGTGCGGTGTAATACGATGGAGTGCGGTGTAGTGCGGTGGGGAGCGGGGGAGATCAGTGGAGAGAGCCAGTAAGGGAGCCGGCACTGAAGGGAGCCAGAGCCGGTGGGTCGGCGCTGTGACTTTACGGCCTGGCGGCTGGCCGCTAAAGTGGGGGGCGGCTGGGCTGGAGCTGGCCGGCTGGCTGGCGAGAGGCCGACGAGGCACACGGGGCCGACGGGGCGCTAGCGGGGTCGGTAAGGCGCCAACGGGGCCGGCGGGGTGCTAACAGGCTGGCGGGGCGAGCAGGGCAGGAGAGGCGCACGAGGCCGACGAGGCGCTAATGTTGTTCACGGGGCGCGAACGGGGCTGGAAGGGTGCTAACGGGGCTGGAAGGGCGCTAACGGGCCGGCGGGGTGAGCAGGGCTAGAGGGGCGCACGGGGCCGACGGGGCGCTAACGGGGCCAACGGGGCGCACAGGGCCAGACGGCGCAAGTGGGGCTGGCAGGGCGTTAACAGGCCAGAGGGGGTGCACGGGTCCGACGGAGCGCTAACGGGGCCAAAAGGGCGCTACAGGCCAACGGGGCGCTAACGGGTCGGCCGGGTGAGCAGGGCCAGAGGGGCGCAACGGGGCCAACGAGGCGCACGGGGCCGACACGGCGCTAACGGGCCGACGGGGCACTAACGGGCCGACGGGGCACTAACGAGCCGACGGGGCGCTAACGGGGCCAACGGGGCGCACAGGGCCGACGGGGAACTAACGGGCTGACGGGGCGCTAACGGGCCTGTGGGGCGAGTAGGGCCAGAGGGGCGCACGAGGGTCGACAGGGTGCAAACGGTCGGACAGGGGCGCTCACTGGGCCAACGGGGTGCACGGGGCCGACGAGACGCTAACGGGCCGACGAGGCGCTAACGGGCCGACGAGGCGCTAACGAGCCTACGGGGCGACTAGGACTAGGACGAGAGCGGAACCGCAGGTGGGCGGGGAGGATCTAACCTAGCGCGTGATACCATCTTAGAGTAGAAATCGTTAACTAGAATGAGGCATACTGGTTGTTTTTTGTTCAAGTATTTGTACCCTCTAAGAGCAGGTGTGTCTCTTCAGCAGCTCTGCCTTCACGGAGGCCAGTGCGTCCCTGTCTGCCGTGGCGAAGATCAGGTCGTCTACGTAAACAAGGATGTAGAACGGGGTCTGGCCAGCATGAACGAAGAGCGAGGGGTCTGCATCGAATAGAAAGAACTGCAGGTCAGCAAGCGTAGCACACAGCGTGTCGTGCCACTCACGGGGAGCCTGCCGCAGGCCGTAGATGAGGCGCCGTAGGAGCCACTGGGTCCCAGGAGGGAAGGTACTAGTGAAGCCCTGAGGGCGGCGCATCAGACCCGCTCGTGTAGACTGCCCTGAAGAAACGCAGTGGAGAAGTCGAGGGAGTGAAGCTCGTAGTCATGCTGAGCTACTACGTGTAGCAGCAACCGAAGAGTAGTCATCTTCGGGGTTGGAGCGAAGGTCTAGAAAAAGTCCACCCCCTCACGCTGAATGAAACCTCTAGCCACGTAGCGTGCCTTGAACACAGGCGGCTCTCCAGGAGGGCGCTTCACCTTGAAGAGCCAGCGGCCATCGACTACGTTCACCGCAGGTGGGGGAACTGCGTTAACGTAGGTGCCGGTGGATCTCCAAGATGCCATCTCCAACTCCATGGCAGCTATCCACTGAGAGGCCCAAGGTCCCGAGGTCGCCTCAGCGTAAGTGCGAGGGGTCGGGATGTCCAAAGCGTCGGGGTCACCCTCAGGGACTAGAAGCATAGAGCAGAGATGGGGAGCAGCCTCGGACAGGAAAGCAAGCTCATACTGGCGGTCCTCCAGTACGTCATTGCCGAAGGCAGGAGCACCCCCGACAGACGGAGGACAGGCAGGGTCAGAGACCAGAGCGGTGGCGTAGTCAAGGTGGCGGGTAGAGGCGAAGTCAGCGACCGCAGCTACAAGGGTGTCAAGACTCGAAACCGGAACAGACGGGTCGGTAACGAGGGAGGCAAGGATTCGAGGAACAAGAGGACGAGCGGCATGTAGGTAGTCAGACAGAGGGGGGGGAGCAACGACAAGGGAGGACGGAGGGGGCGACGGGAGAAGGGGAGGACGAGATGTGTAGGAACGAAGCAACATAGGGTGAGAGCGTTGGGGAGACAGGTCGAGCACGGGAGGGATGGCGAGACCAGACGTGAGACGGAGGAGTCAGGTCAGGAGACAGAGGAGGGGACACAAGAGGGGAACGAGGGGGGAAACGAGCCGAAGACGAGTCCGGAGGAGGGAACACAGGGCCGTAGATAGGAGGAGGTACAGGCACGGGGTCAGGGGATGGAAGGCCGAGCAGGCGAAGAGTGGACACCAGCGGGGACTGCTGCGGCGGCGGTGTGACACCGACACCAGGACCGCAAGCTGCCGGGCGGCGACCTCCAGAACACTCCACGCCAGCACCCCCAGAAGAAACACCCCCAGAGCTCAGAACCCCTCGAGCACCGGTACCACCCCCAGGCCAGCCAGGACAAGCCACGACAGGAGTCCCAGGACTAGTCCCCACCCCAACTCTAGCACCCCCAGAGGCAACGAACAGCGGCGGCGGCTGCGGCGGGGACGACGGCTGCGACAGCGGTGGCGATGGCGGCTGCGGAGGCGGCGGAGGAGGAGACACCTGAGAAGGGGCAGGCGGCGAGGACTGTGTCGCAGGACCACCAGCGTCAGCAGACTTCTCAACCGGAACAACCGACAGAAGTGGGGTGACGTGGGACACACCAGAGGGGGCAGGACGGGGAGGGGGAGGAGGAGGGGCGGCGACGACCGGGGAAGGGGTGACCATGAACAGGGTGGGGTAACCGGGGGACCTCGGTGGGGGAAGCGGCAGAAGAAGGAGACGGACTCGACAAAGGTGACGTCGCGGGAATGAAAGAACCGATGAGACGGCGGGTGGTAGAAGTGCGAGTCAGACGCGTCAAGGGGGAAGCCGAGGAAGACACAGGGAAGGGTGCGGGCAGTGAGCTTGTCCGTGCCAGAGGCACGAACGTGTGCAAGGCAGCCCCAGACGTGAAACGCAGACGCGTCACCAAGGGACCCAGACCAAAGAAGGGTCGGCGAAACCTGAGGCTGCTGGGGGTGCGGCCACAGGTTAAGCTGGTGAGCGGCGTAGCGAACCGCGAACGGCCACAGAAAATGGGGTGCACCAGCATGGATCATGGAGGTGCAAGCCACCTCCATGACCAAACGGATGCGTCGCTCAGTGATCCCATTCCGTTGCGGGGAGTCCGGTAGGGTGTACGACTGGGTGATGCCCTCCCATGACAGAATTGTCCAAGCCGAGCAGAGGCAAACCCGCCGCCACGGTCAGAGTGGAAACATAGCACAGGGAGACCGTAGTGGAGGCGCGCAGCTACGACCCACGAGATAAGAACGTTAGGCACATCCGCCTTCCACTCCATGGGAAACACCGTGGTGTAGCGTGTGTAGTCGTCGACAAGCACTAGGAAGTAGCGCTCTGACGCGGCCCATGGACGGGGGCGGGGCTGTGACATGTGCAGAGTCTATAGCGGTGCTTGCGGTAGGGGGAAAAGAGGAGGAGTGAGGGGCACGACGGAGCCGGCCCTCGACACAGGGCGTGCAAGGTGGGGCTGGGGAGGAGGGAAACTCGGGGAACGACTCGGGGAGGCCTAGGACGAGATCGTGCTGTGACATGTGACGCAGACGCGGGAGCGCAGGGTGACCTAGGTGGTGGTGCCAGAGAAGAGTCGAGTGGGTAAGAGACCGACAGGAGCAGGCAGCAGCAACCGGGGGAGACGCAGCCACCTGAGGGGGGGTTCGAGCCGGGGGGGTCACTGTGTCCAGTGTGAAAAGACCAGACACTGGGTCCCGGGGGAACGTGGACAGGGGGGCACCAGTGGCGGCCTCAGTACAGACAGCGTACTGCTCGTGACCAGGGAACGTCGTGGTGACGCCAAGATCCCGAAGGCAGCCGAAACCAGATAGGTTCCTGGAGAACGAGGGGGATGTGCAGTCCTGTAAGCGAGCCTGAAGTAACCGCTAGGCAGGGGAGGGTGGTGGAATTGCGGGCAACTACAGGGCTGGAGGAGGGGTCAGCAAGAGAGACTGCGGCAGGGATAGGAAGCGGTGTCAACGTGGTGGAGTCGCAGAAAGAAGCACCAGGAAGCGCCAGAGTCGAGGGTGAAGGAGAGCGCGGCAGTGGCGGCCAGAGGCGAAGCAGCGACGGAAGCACCAAGGCTAAACAAAGCAGGGGGTC